CCCCCGCGGGTGAGGAGCGGCCTGCGCTGCGGGCTCCGCGGCGGCGGTGGTGGGCGAGGCGAGGCCAGGGGGTTATATCTCTGCGGCTGGAGAACGGCAGAGAAAAGAGAAAGAAAGCGGGAAAGGCTTGTTTTTCCCCCTCGGTATTGCCTTCCACGCTTTGCCCCGGGAGCTAAAAGCTGAGCGAAAACATGCTATGTTAAGTCATGAAGCGTTATAAGTTCTTTGCTTGTTAGGCAAAGAGAAGCAACCGGCTTGGAGTTTCCGTGTCAATAACGGACCAGACTTCGAAAGCTGCTGTAGTAGATAAGTCAAGCACACACAAAAATCCTGTGTTTCTTTTTTTTGCACACACATCCCACGAGGTTCAGTACGTGTTGAATACAAGCATTAAAACGGCCGTATTATGTTAGAGTATGTTTCAGTCGCTTTTGTTTCTTACCTGAATAACTAGTGGTATTTCGTAATTCTGCAACAAATGACAGAGCAAAAAGTGCCTTATATAGTGATGTCACAGTCCATTTATTTTATTTTTCTAGTGAAACTGAAAAAGTTACTTTATACAAAAAGTATCTCAAGCTGGAATGCCCTACAGCTTCCTGTAGAATTAAGGTAGGGACTTCAATGGAATTATTTAACCTTTCATTGTCTTTTTAATCACTTCTTTGAATAAAGTTCTCTTGTATTGCTGTTAGTCAAGTTATTGCAATTTTCGTACAGTAATTGTTTCACATAATTACTTAAGAAGACCTAGTATGTGTGTATGAAAACAATATCCTCTTAGTGAAAAAACTTCTTAAACTGGATAAATTGTAGCTAGTCAGCAGTCGATCAGAACTGCAAACTGATTCATTCACTGCTAACTCTGTGCAGTTAAATAACCTAATGAAAATCTATATGGCTACTGCTCCTCTTAACTGCTTAGAAGATCAAGGCTTAATTTATCCTTGGTGGCACGCATCTTCTGTTCCAGTCAGTTTTCTAACAGTAATGGCAAGGTAAAATGAGCTTAATTTCCCCAGAAAATACCCCCATATATATGCGTATATAAACACACAGAGTGGTGCGTTGTCTCAAATGACGAAAATACAGTTATTTCCTAACCAAAATATTTTTTCCCTTCTTGCAATAGCTGCTCTCCATTGGTGAAAAACAAAGGGTACTCATCAGTAAAATAATTGTACAAGTGAAAGCAGTGTCTGCAAAACTAGCAACTGATTTTCCTTCACTAGGATCAAGCATAGATCTAAACAGAGTGCAAACTATAATGGAATCTATGGGGTCAAAGTTGTCTCCAGGTGCTCAGCAGCTCATGGACATGGTTCGATTTCAGCAGAAAGTAAGTCATTGTGCTTTTCTGTAAACACGAATAGTGCTAATATGAGACCTTGTCTTCTGTAATAATTGAGCATGTTCTAAACTGATTTGATGAAAAAGCTGTTTTTTAACCCAAACTTTCTGCCATTTAAATCCTGGTTTGGCTATTGCCAAGCTTAAAAAGGTGAACGTGAATGATGATTGTGTACCCAAGGAAATCACCGTGCATAGATCAAGTCCCGAGTTAACAACTTTGCATCATCATCATCATCTTAAACTTCACTGTCACTGTATCCTCCTGCCTCCCTTGCTTTCCCTTCTGTTTTTTTCAGTTGTCAGTGCTTGTCATTTCATGGTAAGGATGGTGGATGTGTTTCCTGTTATGTTCGGGGTGCAGGTGGATGGGCTAGTTTGTCTGTCTGTCTCTTCTGTCTTTAATAAAGGCCCATGATTTTCAGATAAAGGAAACAAACCCTGAAAGGGCTTTTATTTGATTTAGATCCCAGTCCTCCAAAGCGGGCTATTTCAACAAAATCCTGTATCCACCTGATGTAAAGAACTGATCGGTCTTGGGGCCGTAGCATAATGAAAATTTGATTCAAAAAATTGCTGTCAGGAAAACTGTTTTGGTGCTTAGAGACTGACAAGATTAAAACTAATGCAATAGCATATGTTCAAGCAAAATCTTTCTATGCTTTTCCCTTTAGAATATAACTCAAAACTACTGTTAAAATCTTTATATCACTTAGAATGCTGTAACTACACGGAGTTATAAAGGATATATTGATATATTACATAATTTCCAGTATATTTTATATGGAAGTATTACGTGTGTGTGTGTATATATATATATATATATTTTTTTTATTTCCATCAGAACAGTTATATATATATATATTTTTTTTTTTTTATTTCCATCAGAACAGTTTACCTCTTGGAGACAAACTTAATTGGATCTTTGAGAAAAATTCTGACTTTGAAGATGAACATCCAGTAGATGGATTACATGGTGCAGCTATTCAGACATCGTTAGATCCGTCATCCACTGAACCTTTGCCTGTTATAAACTGTTTATCAAGTGAAGCAGTATATGAAGACTTAAAAAAAAATCTTGATCTAAACGCACAGATACCTGAAAGAGAGAATGCTTCTGATTCTGGAAGACTTACTACTCAGCAAAACATGCTGAACCCCAGAAATGATTTTAAAGTCATGGGTTCTTTGATTATGCAGGAGCAAACAGGTGAAAATCCAAATATAACTAATCCGAGGGAGCTTCTTCCTTTTCTTCAAAACTTATGTCGCCAGGTAAATCATCTTCGCCTAAAAGATGGAAATAAGCATTTTGAGAAAAATGTTGTGACTAAAGAAGAAGGCATTCAGAGTGTTGGGTAAGTTAAGTTTGCTACGTTTGTTCAACTGCTAGTGGTTTGTAAACAACAGTGGTGGGTCTTAGGATATGTGGTTTTGGAGGCTGTGTGGCGACAAACGTATTTCAATTGATTTTTTTCAGATGAACTGCTTGAAGGTTAAAAAAGAAGTTATCTTACATTGTTGTATAACTCTCTCTCTCTGTGGTTTCAAAAAAAAAAGTGTGGTCTTTTTGCATTATTATATATATTTAGTATGTCTTTCTTTTTGGCTATTACATTCTTACTCTGGCTACTTCCACCTCCTAAACTGTCATCTCCTCTCTTTCACATTATGTACCAGCATCTCTCTGCTGTACTTAATGTATCTCATCCCATCAATTTTTCCTGTTCCTCCTCACTTGTTTGCACTTACAGGAATTGTAGTACTAGTGCACTCAGTTTGATACCTAAAGAACCATAGTAGAAAAGGTGAGATTTAGGAGAGTTGCCTACGTAGCAGGGTTCTAAGCCTGAATAGCTCTAGCAGCTGGGAAAGTAGAATGAATTTAAAAAATCCAGATTAAAAAAAAGAATTGCATAGTGTTATAACTCTTGAAACACTTTAAATAGAAAGAGTAATGCCTGTTGTTCTGACAGAATCAGTTCTGCATATCCTGTTGTTATATATATTTTATTTACACATGACTAAGCCTTTTAACACATAATTAAGCCTTTCTAAGCATAAGTTTGAAGGAAGATGACTATTTATATAACCTAGTGGGTATCTTAAAATTTTCTAGGATTTAAAAAGTGGTGGGCAGGCAGGATATTTCACTTATACTAAAAACCTAAGAACGTCCCTATTCATTAAGACTAGTTGTTCTTTCTTAAGCCCCAAGTCATTAAGAAACAAGTTATGCTTACTCTTATATTTGCTGTTTTCACAGAGTGGAACAACAGCCTATTTGTTCCTACTTGGAAAAGATCATCTCAAAAAATATGGATCTGATGGAGAAAAAACTAATGGACTATATTGATCGCCAAATCCAGACTCTTCAGACACATATAGATAACAAAATGGTTCTGTTAATGGACTTAATTCAGAACTCAAAGCCACACAAAATTTCACAAACACACTCTGATTCTAGTGAGGGATTCTCAAATGGAGAGAGATAGATGTATGTAGATATAGGACTGCAACGTAAGTATTTTTTCAAGAGCAGTTATACTTTAAAAAGTTTAGTATTTATGGGATTATAACTGTAAAGAACCTCAGTGTTGTTGACTTGCATTGGTTACTGTAATTCTATCCACTGTTGTACACTGTTGTTTTCTGAAAGATCTTAATGTATGTTTTTCCTAAATATAAGAATTTTGTATGCCCTTTGTGGCTTATTTCCTGAAAGAGCATTAGTAAAAGCCATGTGGAATACGGTATTCCAGTTTCAGCTTGAACAATGGGGAGAAGTACTCTAAATAAACTGTGTTACAACTTATCTATTTAGCCATATATAATCAATTCACTTTTCTAGGGTCTGTTGGTTTTTGGTTTTATTTACACACATGTAATGTGTTAAAAGTAGAACAAAACTTGGTTTCTTCCTGCTTTTGGTTTATTTTAACATTACTTCTGTTGAAGCTATAAAGCTGTTGAAGGAGGAGTAGTTCTTGCATTACTGAATTTAGACTGTAGGTCTAGGTCAGATTTAGAGACAGACACTTTTAGGGAGACAGGCTAACTTGAACTCCAGCCTGGGTTCTTTGAAAGCCTCACTGACTGTACAGGTTACACTGACAAGTTAGGGGTCTGGGCTCCTTAAGAGATATCTAAAACACAGACTGTTGTTACCACAGAATGGTTGAGGTTGGAAAGGACCTCTGGAGATCAGCTACTCCAACCCCCCTGCAGGGTCACCTAGAGCACTATCCAGACAGCTTTTGAATATCTTCCAGAGAAGGAGATTCTGTAGCCTCTCTGGGCAACCTGTTCCAGTGCTCAATCAGTCTCACGCTAAAGAAGTTTTTCCTCATGTTCAGACAGAACTTCCTGTGTTTCAGTGTGTGCCCGTTGCCTCTTGCCCTGTGGCTGGGCACCACGGAGAAGAGTCTGGCCCCATCCTCTTGACACTCTCCCTTCAGATACTTGTACACATGGATCAGATCCCCCCTCAGTCTTCTCTTCTGCAGGCTGAACAGGCCCAGCTCCCCTCAGCCTTTCCTCATAGGAGAGATGCTCCGCTCCCCTAATCATCTTCATAGCCCTCTGCTGGGCTCTCTCCAGTAATTATGCTTCTTGCTTCCTAAATTCATTGAGCCTTGCAGGAGCTACTAGAATGTGACTAGACTTGCGTTTCTTAGGGTAATGAAATATGCATAAATGTAAGTATTTCATTCATGATTCCTTCTAAAAGGACCTCCTTTTGCAAACAGAACGTGCTGGAGCAGGATCTGTTACTTTTTGGAAACCGTAGGCCAGAGAAAAATAGCCTTATTTCATCATATTTACTTTAACCTGTGGGAGCAGTTCTGTTGTCAGTTGGATAGGTAGAAATGTGGCTCCAAGTCCCTCTTCCGTGAAGATCTGAGGTTCATCCTGCATTCCATTTCTTGTTCTTTGAATTCTTGGAGTGCATTCTCTTTGTACCATTTAACTATGACTGTATAGGAACTTAAAGGAAGGCTCCTAAGAGCAGAGACACTGGTCATGTTGTATGTTTTAAAATGCATTGAGCAAAAACTACAGATGGAGAAGCAGCTGTTGACTGAACAAGCTGCTTGGGCGTGTGCAGTCCAGTCCCTTTCCAATCTACGTAATATTTTGTTTTACACCAGGAAAGTGTCTTTTGAAGACCGTCACATCTTGATGGTAGCAACACATAAGAGTATATACCAAAAAGAGGACAATTTATGCAGAACATACAGCTTGCAAATGTATTTTGTTCCCCAGCTTAACCCATGCAAGTACAGTTTCAAAATGATTAGAAAAGATGAAATGAGATTTTGGAAGAAAAAAGATCTAAATCATCTTGCACTTTACGGGTCTTTTTACACCTGTGAATTAGTTTTTAGATACTTTCTTAGAAACACCTGAAGTAGATAGTTATATTCTTTTTCAACTCAGTGATTTAAAATATAGTCCTAGGTTGAACTTTTTTTAATTATAAAAAAAAATTGGAATATGCTTCCAAGCATTGCTATATTCCATAGCTGTTATAGTTTATTGGTTTTTTTTTTTTTAATTTTTGTTTTTTAATGTATTAGCGCACAGGTGTGTTCGAGTTTTGTTTTTTCTCCTCATCCCCCCCCTTGGAGTGACAAATCTGAATAGCACATTGTGAATTTGTGTCAACTTCTAAAGTAGTTAATATGAGCTCTGCATTTTTTTGTAGCCATATCCTAATTGGCGTCTGATACGATATTTT